CACACAGACACACACACACACACACACACACACACACACACACACGCTGTCCTTCTTGACCCGGATCTAAAGCTCAACTTCCCTGAAAAGTCGAAGAGTACAGCTTTAGGCTTTCCTGGCATGTGATGGTGTTTGTCATAGCTACTGGCCTCAGCTAATACTACATAAAGCAGCCGTACATATGATGTTATCCAGTGAACACAGCTCTGTTCCAATAAAACATTTTTTAAAAAATAGGTGATGATTACAGTTTTCTATCTTCTGCCCTAGAAAATATCTGGGAGCATCCTTGATAAAACAAGTAGAGAGGCTTCCAGCTGAAATTCAATGCTCTTAACTTAGCAACTCAAGGCCACTTGTTCCTTGCTTCCTTTCTCCTACTTATATCCAAAGTATTCCCCCAGAGAATGCCTTGTCAGCTTCCTTGCCCAGCACCCCCACTCCACCCCTGCCAATCCCCACCTGCCTGGCCTGGGTCTATAAGCTTTTCTTGTGAACTGTATCATCCTCTTAAAGTATCTTATTGTCCATCACTCTAAATCTGCTCATTTACCAGCCTCAGTTCAAGACTGGACATGCATCTCACTGTCTTCTCTATGTGATACCCAGGAGTGCTTGCTACATTGTTGGTACTGTTTGTTAAAGTTCGTCATTCCTTTTCTGACGTTTGTCCAGATGTCTGTATCAGGAAACATTTCTGAGGTCATGGAAGAGGCAAACCAAAGCTGTTCTTTGAATTGCATGGCTAAGGGCATGGGGTCAGGGGAAATCCTGGCAATAAACACAGATGGGTCATGGTCGGGTCTGCTGCTAAGCAGTTTCTCTACAGTCTTTCTCTTGGCATGCCCTCAGCTGTTGATAGAAGCTTTATCTGTGATCACATTCTCAGTTGGGGAACCCTGAGCCTGCATTTGTTCTTGTTATGCCATGCTGCTTCCTTAAAAAGTACCTGCAGGTTGTACATTATGAAAACTGCTTTGATGATGTAATGAATGTTATCCTGTCAAGACTATCAGAGAGCAAGGGATGCCTGCCTAGTGTTCTGATGTTCCTGTTCTCTACGTAAGGAGACTGTACTTACAGAAGACAGCATATTTAGAATTTTGTGGGATTACATAGTTATCTCAGACATACTATCATAATTATCTTGCACTCTATCCTGTTTAGCATGAAGAATTTATTTGAATGTATATAAGGTATAAAGTCAAGTTTTCCTTTCACCTCAAGGACATTCCTACTTTCAGAGCAGTTTCTACAAGAATCAGTGGGCCTGTTCAAGAGAAAACTTGTCAACAAATTAAGTCTATGGGAAGCAGGATGTGGCTTCTGTCAAAGTGTCCGTGGCTGTGTGTACCTACCTTTGCCCCTGCCATTCTTTGTTCTCTGTGGAATCTTTGTATCATGCGAGAAAGAGGGAAGTTTTGACAGTGTGAGGTTGCATCGGTGCTACCCAGTGGAGCTGGTGCAGACATGACCAGAATCCTCTGGGCTCTTCTGCACTGCTATGAGTACCTTCCCTTGGAACTCCAAAGTCACATATCCAAAGCTGGGTGCCTTCCTAGCACGAATGAATCTCTCCAGTTTGATCTTCCTTTGTCCTCAGACAGTCTTCTCCCTATTGCCACTTGGAATGACTCTAGGCTTGGTCTCTTGGCAAGTTGGTTTGGAGAAACACGAATTATAAGTTTGGCCCATCTTTATGCTGTTTCACCCCAAAGGTCTTCCCTGAAATTTTTCATTTGTCCTGTTAGAACCTGTCTGTTCTTTGTTTACATAGCTAAGCTTGGAAAAAGGATTTTGCCTTTGAGTCTTTTGGATTTTTCCAGTGTCTCTTAGCTACAAATCAAAAAAAAAATAAAAAATAAAAATAAGTAAATAAAGTCTCTAAGAAGATTGGTCTAGTTCAAGGCCAGCCGGTCTACATAGTGAGTTCCAGGACAGCCAGAGCTACACAGAGAAACCCTGGCTTGAAAAACAAAACAACAACAAAAAAAATGTTTATCTAGCTTCAGGGGAGCCCCTAATTCAGAAACAGAATCAGTGAAGATTTAGAAACAAACAAGGATAGGGGAGGGAAGAACATAATTTTAAAAACAAGCAAAACCAAACTGAACCAGTTGCATTGAGTTAAACAGGAAGGGGAATTATCCATATTATTTATGACTGTGGTGTTTGATGGTAGGAGGAAGAATCGCAAGCAAATCCTGAGCTCCATCTTCATCCCCCTTGTTTGGTTTGTTGGTTGTTATTTTAGTGGTATATACAAACAGTCCTGAGTCCATTTCAGATATATGTAAAGTTGATCAAATTAAATAAAGATGCTGAAAGTCAGGGTTCTTACCAGGAGAACAAGAGAACCTGTGAGAGGGTTGAAACTCGAAGTATTTGTGGATGCCCGGGTTTTTAAGAGGTGCATACTTTTAACCTGCATATTACATATATAAGTTGTCTCCCCAATAGCAGGGAACAGAGGTATTCCAGTAGCAGGGAGCACACCTGGCACCAAAATCCCTTTTTCATATCATTCCTCTTAAAAGAATCTTATTTTTAAAAAGTAATGGCTGATTGCCACACTGAGCTGGTTTAATGCAAGTCCTGTTGTACCAGAAAGCTTTGTCTGAAGTGCTCCAGAAATTATGAGTCATAGCACAGGAACACATGCCTAACTTGCAAGGACTCCTGTTTGCCAATGCTAGGACCGTCTGAGTCCCAAAACAGTATATGTAAGAATAAGCCATTAAAAGTGGGGATCCTATTGGTGACTACCCTGGTTGTCAGCAGAGAGAGCCTTTATCCAGTGACTGATGGAGGCACATGCAGAGACCCATGGGCAAACATTGAGTCACATTTGGAGAGTCCTGCTGAGGAGAGGGAACAGGAGGGTCAGGAACATCACAGGAAAACCCAGAGAAACCACTAGCCCGGTGCATGGGAACCCACAGAGTCTGAACCAACAACTAGGGCACCTGAATGGGACCAACCTAGGCCCTCTGAATATATGTGACAGTTGGATAGTTTGGTCTGTATGTACTCCTGGCAATGGGAGCAAGGTCTGTCCCAGGTGCTTTGACTGACTCTTGGGAACCTATTCCTCATGCTGGATTGCCTTGCCCAGCCTGAATACAGGGCATGGGGGGCAGGCTGCTTGGTCTTAGGGTACCTTGATAAGCCATGCTTTGCTGAAACCCATGGGAGGCCTTCCCCTTTCTAAACAATTATGGAGGAAGGGCGAACTGGTGGTTGGGGGGGGGATGGGTGGGGAGGGAGGGAGAGGAGGGAGGCTATGGTTGGGATGTGAAATAAATAAACTAAGTAATAATAAAAAAGTGGAATCTCAGAGTCCATACCAGTAGAAAATGCACACAGGAGAGAAAGAGGAGCATTTCCTAATAGCAGAATGAAAGCTGGATCAGTGACCAATCCAGAAGGAAGGAAGGTAGTGGGAGATCCTAAGTTTATAAACAATATTGACCATTGCACTTGATAGTCCATTCCTAATTCTTAGTTCCAGCAAGCCATAAGTACAAATCTAATTAGACTAAGTGTCTACCTAAAGTGGATCAGAAAAGTGTCTACCTAGATGTTCTAGACAAGGAAAAGTATTTAATCAAGCAAGAGCAGTGTATTTCTGTCCATTTAAATATTACCCAGGGCACCCCAGCCCAGAAGGGTGATGTGGCTGAACCAGCATCAGCCTCACTATGTCTGCCATTTCCAATTTTCAGAGTCTGTTGACTGTAATCTTGCTGCGTATATATACGTGTGCTTACATCTGATCTTTGGCACCCAGCTTCTGGACAGAAATAAAACTGGGCTATTGGGAATATTTGGGGAGTGTGCCTGAATTGGTAAATGCAAGAGTCATTATGTTACCATATACTGTATAGAGGTGGCCTTCAGCATCCTCTTCATGCAGTAGCTTTGAAAACTACCTGTGTGTGATTGCCATCAGACTCTAAACTAGGCTTGCCTCCAGAAAATGAGGAATGGTTAACCCTTTTATCTCTGAACATAGAATGAGATGAATTTTAAGATGCTGTTCTCTCTTTTTATGCTATTGGACCAATGAGCTAAATAAATAATTAAGTAACAATTTAACACACAGGAATGTGATTGTAGCGCTCAATCTCAGTTCTGTCGCTTCAGCATTGCACTCTGCAAATGTAATCTCTTGTGTTGGGACACTTTTTGTAAGGTTGTTGAGGGCATGAAGTAGAACACACAAATGGTGAATTCCACAGGCTCCTTTTACTAAGACTTGAAAATGGTGTCTTCATAGAATGAGACCTTCTAGAGACTGGCCTATTTTTATTGAGGAAAAAACATGTACTACTTTAGTTGTTGTTACTGTTCTTATGAATTACATTCATATTTAAACCATTTTGATTGCTAAATAAATAAATATTAACCAGGTGTTAGAGAGATGATTCAGAGATTAAGAACACTGGCTACTCTTGCAGAGGACTCAGGTTTGGTTTTAAACACATACATGGTGACTCACAACCATCTGTAACTCCAGTCCTAGGAGATTCAATGCCCTCTTCTGGCCTTTAAGAGTATGGGGAACACCAGTACTGACCAACTGAGGTTGAAGTCTCATTGTGGCTCTGGGCTGCACCCACTTAATTTGTTCATTGTTGAATTCTGAGTGCCTCAGTAGATTTGGTATGCAGAAAGCTCATGATAGGCATTTCTCAAATGAATAAGTGGGTGATTCCTATGGGTCCTATATGTGAGGTCAGCCCCAAATAGTTTTTTCCATTGTTTGGTCTCTAAGGCTCACTGCTAGTATGAAGTCTCAGTGATAGACTTGTCCTTGTGGTGGAAATTACTCTATCATCTGACATTTACATGGGTATTTTCCTATTTCTAGTGTGGTCTGCAGCTGTATTTACTTTTATTAGATGTTATTTCAGTGTTTCAAGATTTAGCTGGTAGTAAAGAATTTTAGGATTTCTGAGGTTCTGGTTAACTGGTATGGGGCTTGGGGTATTTTTCAGCTATTGGACCTCTTCATTCAGTGGGATTGGTCCACATACCTTGCTGACTATGGACAACCCAACTGCAAGTATCTCCGAGTGAATCCTGTGACTGCTCTGACCCTGCTTGAGAAGTGAGTACACAGCCCTGTGCTCTGTATGGAGAGGTGGAGGAAGGGAAAAGGGTAGTTAGTATATAAGGCCATTTTCCTGTTTCTAGTGCCTTGAAAAACATACTTGTTCTTGAAGCTAACTCAGGTGCTTCCAGCCATATTGACCATTGCACTTGGTAGTCCATTCATAATTCTTAGTTCCAGCAAGCCATAAGTACAAATCAGAATGGGATTCTGTATGCCTTGTAGTCTAATTAGACTAAGTGTCTACCTAAAGAAGACAGTGGAAGATAGTAAGATGACATGGATTTGGTTCAGGCCAGTCTGGTAAGCAAAGGAGCATGTCCTAGTCCCTGGGGCTTAATAATCTGTAGCGCAGACCTCCTCAGAAATGTGGTTTCACTGAACTGAGTTATCTAACACCCAATATCTCAAAGCTAGCCATTGTGACACACAGGTGCCAGTGGTATGCATTGTAACCTGGCTCTGAGTTTTGCCAACCTACTGAGGACTGGCAGACCCATGTCAAAGAGCTATTTAAGACATGACTAGTTACCTGCATCAAGGCAGTGTAGAAAGTCCACATGGATGGGCAGCCAAACCTTCTCCAGCCCTAGAAAGGCAAAGGCTGAAGTCCAAGAGGTCAAAGTAGAGCTTTAGACAAAAACAGAAATCAAGGTGTGTCTTTCTTATTGGGGGGGGGGGTGTTTGAGAATATGCCAGATGTAAGCAGAAAGCAGAGAATAGACAAGAACAGTATTTGGGGCTCTTTGTTTGAAGCCAAGAGATATGCTGGGAATTGATGGTTTCATGTTAACTTTCTCCCATGGTTCTCTCTTCCAATGACTTTTTTCTCTAGGATATCTAGAGAGTAAGTATATTGTTCACTCGAGAGTTTTCCATCACTCTGAGGCAAGTCCTTCCAGTTTTCTCAATGATGTCAATAACTAAACTAAAATGCTGGTCCTATCAGGGGTCTCCATCCTGACAAACTAATCTTCTAAACCAGCCTGGTGCCACCCAGCTAGGCACTTCCTCTTTCTTTTTGCCTTACAGACTTGGTTTACTAGTTCATTTTGGGGTGGGAATGATGGCAGGAACTTTTCCCATCAGCACTAGGGAAAGAATTTCTTCCCACCCAGCTTTCTGACATGCTTTGTACTCTTATTGACTCAGGGCCTGCAGTTCAGCCCTGACAGAAGAACTCCTAAGCAAATAACAGCTCTTGGGGACAAAGGCCTATGGCTTTAGGATCTAGAACCCACATCTCCTATGATGATTCCTTATCAGAGGCAAGCCAGGCCCAATGTTCTCATTGCAAAGTAGAAATGGGGAGATAGTCTGGTGTTTGATCTGATACTCATGCACTTATCTTGAGGTCCTTTACTCTTCTTTAGGTATGGCGATTGGTGATGTCTCTCTATCCTGGCCTAGCATGCAACAAAGCTGTGTGCTGCGCCCTAGCCATCAGTAAACCTGACATCTTTTCCAACATCGGAATGCAAGGGCTCCCCCAAGTCACCAAAATATCCGCATCTCCTAGCCTCAGAGGAATTCCTTCTCTCCTCTGACCTGTTCCTGCTTCCCCAGAGGCAACTGCTTAGCCAAGCCTACCAGATTCTCTTTCCAAATCTGGTTCTTCCTAGTGAGGCAAGACAGAAGAACCCACCTCATTGCCAGTACTATCTTTAAAAAAAAAAAAAAAAAAAAGGAAAGTCCCTCTGTGACTGAAAGGTGGCTCAACCAGAGGAAAAAAGAATGTGAGACTTGAAGAAGGATCAGAGAAGGGAGAGTTCACTTAGTTTTGTACATTCCCAAGTGGGTACAAACTATCATGTCGCTGTGAGCTTTCGGGGCACCTGAGAACAAGATTCCAACCAAAGGCTTCAGTGACCAAAAAGTTCTTGCCTCTTGACTCTTCTCTTTCTCCTATGAAGTACAGAGTCCTCCTCTTGAGCTACAGGCCATTTCTAGCTATCTATTTCTTCACTACTGCAGGAAATTATAACATCAGTCAAGCCAAATGTCCCACAAATATAGAAAGGTCTTCTCTGTTTCCTCTTTCCTGTTAGTTTTGTGTTGTCTGGATTTACAGCTTATCCAACAAAAGGAAGGGAGTCCTTCAGAATAATCTAAAACTGCCAGATTCACAAACAGAACTGTGCAGCTAGTGCTTAAAGTAGCAAACTGTTCTCCCCTGCGCCTTAAGGGCATTAAGGAAAGCTTTCTTTCCAACCCAGTCAAGTCATCTGCTCCCCTTCCTAGCCTAGCGCAGGCTTCCACATGTGGGCAGGAGCTCCATGCTGGATGAAAAACTCTAGCCTGAAAGAATTACTCTGAGCTTAGACTGGGGAGAAAAGTCACTGTTAGTTTTGACTGTCGCTGTCAAAGAGCCAGACAGCTATGCTTCCTTAATAGTCAGAATGCCCTTGTGAACTATATGCTTTCCAGTGGCTATATAAACACAGATGAGCACACATTGTGCCTGGCATGTAGCATCTATACACGATGTAAATTACCTTTCTGGAATTTCTGTCTTGATTCATGGCCTCCAACTAGGTTTCTCTTCAAAAGACTCCCCTTTGAGGAAGAAAGAAGGATCAGGATTGGCCAAAGACCTTTGGGAAGTATGCCTGGGAGTAATTTAGACCCTCTGGACTTTTCCCATATAGCCCTAAGAACAGAAAGCCAGTTCAATTCCAAGAACAAAGGTGCTAGCCAGCCCACCAGACCTGTGGGCTGGGAATCAGGGTTCAGAGGCTAGACCGCAGTAGTCATCAGCATTGGATTTGATGTATAACACCTGTGGGCTGGGAATCAGGGTGCAGAGGCTAGACCATAGTAGTCATCAGCATTGGATGCCATGTCTAACAGGACCTTTACAGAGAACAGCATAGTCCTGGACTCTGTCCTGGTGGCTTGACTGAACATAGAGACTGCAGTAATGTCAGTTTGGCCTTACTTTCTTTAACCCTGCCTCCTCATTAGGGCATCCACTTGACAGAACTATATCCATTATTTATACTCCAGTAATATCATCCGTAGAGCTTTAGCAGAACCCAAAACAAAAATCTTGAGATTATACACAATCATTGAGAGTTCAGGCTGTGTCACATAAAGCCTAACTTTATTAACTGGGAAGATGCCCAGCTTTTCTCAGTACTGTGCCCACATGGTATCATAGTACTTCTCGCCCATATTCCTGAAACTAATGAAGAGACTAACTCCTCATTTTTCCAGGCCATGAAAGAATGATCAGTTAGAGTGAGTAGGGCTTAGAGATGCACAGTGGCTCTTTGGTGACTTATGATCTCCTGTAATTCATTTTAAGACAATATTTTTCTGCCTTACCTTCCAAATTCCGTCTCTTATGTTTAAGCAGGATAATGAAATAAGTGCACTCCAGACAATTTTAGGAGTCTGCTGGCCAGCAGAGCTGTGACATGTCTCAGACTCCTGTAAAGGTGCTCATCTGAAGATATAAGGGTTGACCAGATGGGGAAGGTATGAGGATAAGGACCTGACCCCTCCAAAACTTGCTCTTTATCAAAGGCAAATGAAGTCAGGAAGGTAGAAGGTGCCTGAAGGACAGCTTCATCATGAGTAGGTAGCTAGACAATGGGAATATTCTGGACTCTTCTACTATGGGAACGGTTAAGATGCATATTGCCATCCATCCTACTCCCTGCCTGTTCTTTGTCTGGTACTATCTCAAACACCTTGCCCCCTTTCTCTCCTCTATTTAGGATGAAAGATACTAGCCGCAAGAATAACATGTTTGCACAGTTCCGGAAAAATGAACGAGACAAGCAGAAATTGATTGACACTGTGGCCAAGCAGCTCCGAGGACTCATCAGCAGCCACCACTCCTGAATGTTGGCCTTGGGCCCACAGAGACCATTTGCCATAGCCCATGGTCCAGGATCTCCCCTGGGCCAGCCCTGCATTTGTGCATTCTTCCTCAAAGAGAGCATATGTATTTTTTTATTAACCCCTGTACAGTATTCATATAACCTTTCCCTATAGTAAGAGAGGCACAAGAATAATCAAGAACATGAGGGGCATAGTCGGGGGCGGGGGGGCTGCCATACTTTCTTTGTTATCCTGGGAAGGATACACTGTCAGTGCTAATATGATGAGCTTCCTCTTATCCAGGACTCCACAAATTCGGTGGGTACCTGTGCTGGGAGTTGAGATGAGGAAGTAAAATATGTATCCTGTTTGCTCTCAAGTGCTCACTTAAGTGCATAGGAGAGCCTGGCAGACATAGCTATGTAGTATACCAAAGCCAGCCTCAGTTTAGGATATTCATCTGCCTTGTTGGCTTACTTAATGGCCATAAGAGTGAGGTGTGTGGCAAGATGACACTTTCACTCTGGTGCCACAGGTGGCAGTTTCACTGGTGGAGTCTAACCAGACCTTGTGGCTGGAGAGGGGTAGTTAGCAGAGTTGTACACTTGGGCCCGTGCTGAACTTGCTAGTTGCCTCACTGGGTGAGTTGTTTTTCTGTATCTTGAAAGCCAATTTGGGTTTCTTTTCCATTCATCTCTGTCCCTTCTTTCATGACCATAACACTAGGTTCATAATATAGATCAGCAGTGGCTTTTGAAGGTTCCTGAGGAGAGTCTCATACTTGCCTTCTGCAGCAGCATCTGCGTGGTCTGAACCCCCAAAGCCTGAAAACAGCCTGGGTGCTTTCACCTGGAGGAAAGCCTGATGACTTCTTGAGATTGTTCACTTACGTTTTAACAACAGCCTTCTGGCTACCACCTTTAAAGCAAATGTCCTAAGCCCTACACGATGGGCACAGCCTCCCCAGGACTGGATGTTTCTGGGCATGGATCTGTCACCATGAGGTAGACAAGGTCAGCTGTAGCTGAGGTTTGTTGCCTCTGGCCCAGCTGTCATCAACTAAGTCACATCATAGAGACAAAGCTCATCTTGCCCAAGCCCAGGGCTCCCATCTTCTGAGCTGTACCTTGGCCTCACCTCATAGTGCTTTCCTGAAATCCTATCTTTAATCTCTGGAGCCTGGACCAGCCAGGTAGACACTGAGACATGGCCAGGGCTTTCCTGTGCCATTAGTCAGAGGTGTCTACGCACTCAGTTGTGGAAGCTGTTAGGCTAACTGATCGTAAGAGTAATTGCATCATAGAACACTATCCAAGATGCCACAAAAGTGATGAGGAGAAAGACTGGTCAAACTCTCATTGCCTTTGTCACCTACTGTGTGCTTCTGGGACAGCAGTGCTTCTGTATCTCCCAGCCCACTGTAGCCTACCCCATCTTGAACACACCCCACCCTTACCATAGCCATCTTAAATACCAACAGGAAGAGACCACTGTACAGTGGTACAGCTTCCTATAACGAAAGATCAAGCCACTCATGCTCTGCAGATGCCTGCAAGCCTCATCAATGGGCTACACAATGGTGCAGAGGTTCAGAAGTCTCATAAGAACACCCAAAACTTGGTTAGCCAAGGGAAGCAGAGGCCTGTGGGAAAGAAGACAAAGTGGTGTCTCCAAGCCCCGGATAGATGAAAAGGCCGAGAACTGATTCCACTAACCTGAAGTCCTGCTGACTGAGAAGGAAGGAACGGCCCTTTACCAGTGCTCGTCAGCCTTTAGTGTAGAGAGACTGCTGGCCTGTCACAGCTTTTGTCCTTCTAGACACCATCTTGCTGCTTGTCTAGTCTCCACTCTGCCCCAGAGGAACTGTCACAGAATGAATGAAAACAGCTGGAGGAGCAGGACCACTCCCTTCCACAGCAGAGTCCTGCTGATGGGAATTTCATCCAATCTCAGGGTGTGTGAGCATGGCCACCTGGCCTTTCTCCTCCTGCCTCTGTATCTTCCTTCACTGTTCCCTAACAAAAAGCAGCATGCTACTTCTGACCTGTGAAAGCCAAAGGCCTTCAATGTCAAGGTGATTATGAATTGATGAAGTAGAACTTTTTTTTTTCATTTTATCCATAAGGCCTAAAGCTGAGCTGTCCCTGAGGACTTGAACACAGTATGCACGCCTGTAGGCCTCAGACACTGTGGCCTTATCTCAGATGCCTGCAGGCACACACATCCTGAAGAGTCTCAGGTGTGGTAAGACACTGCTGCCTGGAGGTCTGGCCTTCCAACCAGATCCACACCCGTGAAGACAGTCTGGTTTGTGAGCCATGGTTAGGCAGAGGCTCACTTACTTTTGCCATTCATGGGGGGGGAAAAACCTTTTAGTACCAGATGAGCCTGGTGTGGGTTGAGAAGAACAGGGCCTGCACATGGGAACCCACAGAGTCACTGTTAGTAAAAGGAGTGTCTCCCAGTGACTCCGTCATAAACCGGGTCCAGCAGTCCATTTGCTCCACAGCATCTAGCTCAGCAGGTCCCAGGCCCAGGGGTGGCACTTTCCAGGAGTTTCCCACTTAGACCTCTGAGTGCAGGTTTGGCTGGCTTCACCAGGTCTCCTCCACACTACTTTTGCTGTAGCCGCCTCCCTCCAACACCCCTCCCCTTCCTTTATTCACCTGCCTTTCAGCCATCCCTCACGGACGTGTTGGAAATAGCCTTTTCATTTTGCACAGTTCCACATTTGTGGGAGAAATGCAGTGAGATCCATCTGTACCTCTAAAAGGAACCTTTTCCTCTCGTGCTCACCAGGAGAGTAGCTCCGCTGCAGGCGACTGCATAAGGGGGGCTCCTCTGTGGAAAGAGCATGTGTATCCCATTGCCCTGTATACCTTCTTCTTTTAACTGGCATTAAATATGAGAATCTACATACATGTTCCAATAACCACTATGTTTCTTGTGAGGTTTTTGTTTTTATTCCTTTGGCACAGTGTGACTCTGGTTTGTGATAAATATTGAATGGCAGGCAGTGTGTCCCTCTGAGCTGCCTGAGGAGCAGAGCAAGACAGGAGCTGGTGTGGAGAGGCCCTGTTGTGACCTCAGGTGTTGTTAAGATGCATAACAGACACTGGCACAGCCACCAGGAAACACACATTGAAGTGCCTAGTCTATTGGGGTACTGGGATGGGCTGTTCACCTACTCTACGGGGACAGGCTCCAGCCAAGCAGGAATGATACAGGATGATCCAGAGCAAAGCTAGCCTGGCAGCGAGGGAGCTGAGCAGTAGGCCATGTAAAGAAAGGTCTGAAAGGAAGACAGGAGAGAGAGCGGGTGCCTGTCAGCATGGTCTTATGATTTAACTGTAGGGCTCGACAGGAGTGCTTGAGGTGCAGATCGCATTAGAGCTTGAAGTTGCCCCTAGCCTGTTAGATGCTGGGAGACAGTGAAGGCCCTTTGGGCACTTGGCAACCATGCTGAGTAGAAATGTCCATGCAACAGGCCCAGCCTGCTTACCCTCAGAAGAGGCTGGAAAGAACACCAAGCCAACAGCCTGACACTGTTGTGGGCTCTGCTGACAAAAGACCTGGGCCTTTGAAGCGGCCTGCTAGCTGGATCATCTTGAACAGTTCATTTGCTAGCTCACTAGTGACGTTAGAGTGGTTCCTAATTTACAGGGGTATTGTAAAATGTGAGAGCTGTGGAGGTTGCCGTGCCTGGCCTGCCGTAGCTGTGCACTGTTGAAGACCTTGACATCACTTCCCTCCAGTTTATGGCATGCCTCTCAGCTGAGCATCTCACAGATGTTCCCATAGCTGCCTTGTCTCTGGCTTCCTCGCCAAGCCCAGGACAAGGCTGGTGGGAGATGTGCACCTCACACCCCTGTGCAGGAACCAGGACCACCAGCTGCCGGCTCTGAGTAAAGCCAGCCTTCAAGAGAAGCCTGCCCTCATTCCACGTGCAGCCTCCTCTGCTCTCAGTTCTGTGCCAAAATATATACTCCTCCTGATAGCATGGCGTCCGTGGGTTTCCATCCACCCGTGCTTCTTTCTTTTGGAAAGCAGCTGTGGCTTTCGTCAGTGTCTAAGAAAGAGGCGTGACTAAAATACTCCAAATGATAACAAAATCCCTTTAGAGATGGATTTCACTGTGAGTGAACACGGGAGGCTCTGAACCGTGACTTTCTCTCTTTGCCTCCCCAAGTGCTGGCATATTTTGAAGACTGATGCTCACCCTTTTCAGGAAGAAGCCCAGGTCACTCCAAAAGATCAGAACAGCTTTGTTTTCAGTCATACCAAGATGTATACTGAGCTTCCAGAGGACTCTGCACTTTGGGGCACAGGGCAAAGCGTCTGGTGTGGTCGTTGGGCTGTCCCAGGCTGCTCACCCCAGAGCACCTTCCACCATCTCTGAGCACCAGCCCAGGAAGGACCAGCTGCTCATGATTCAAACCCAGGCATGTTTTTTTCACAGCTGGGCATCTTTTTTGCTTAGCAGGCAGGGGAGAACCAGAAGAGCCTCTGAGAGATGAAGCTCGAAGAGAAAGGGCCAGGCCTTCCCCTGGAGGCCTCATTCTGAGTTTAATGGGCAGCATTTGTGGGGAATGAGAGAGCCTCCAAGCCCAAGGGACCAGAAGACAAAGGCTCTTGAGGAAGTGCAAGGAGGAGGAGGAGAGGGGCCAGGACCGGCATTGTGTGGCAGAGCTCCCCCTCTATCTGTTTCAATCACTGCAGGGTTAGGGTTACCCTGCATTTGGGGCCCCACTGCATTGTGGGGTCTGACAGCCCTTGTGATGGTAATGGGGGACTCTCCCAGGGTACCCCTTCCTCTGCCAGCCCAAACCAGCTTCCAGAAAGGAATGAAGTCCATTCCCTTGGGGTGGGGCAGGTTGCAAGCCCAGAACTGGACCTAAGATAGCAGCCCCCTCCCAGTCTGCCAAGTGTACCTTCCCAGCCCAAGTCATGACCTTTCTCCCTCCAGAGCTCCAGAAAGGGAATGGAATCTGAACATCGAGCTGCTTTCCTGGCCCTGAACAATCCTCCCTTTCTCTAGTCTCAATGATGGGTCTATTCCCTCCTGTAAATGGGTCTCGCCATCTCCAGCGTTCACCTTTGCTTGGACGGGTAATTAACTACATTCTCCCTCACACTCCCCTCTCTGTTACCAGGCTCAGATAAAGCCGGGTGGATGGCTTTCTCTTCCTTTCTGTTCCGTGGGTTGCTTATTTCTAAAGCTAGTGAAGGAAGGCACTGCTTCCCCAGCAAGCCCCTTCCCTAGAGAGCTTGCTGGAGAAACCACTTCCGCAGGCACTGGAAAGGTGCCCGTGACAGCACCTCTAAATTTTTCAGCTCTGAACTACCAGTTCACACAGGTGTTTTAGGGAAGAGGTTTTCAGGAGAGAGCTTAAGGAGTCAAGTGGAAAGCTACTTGGGTTCTGGACACTGAGGGCAGATGTGTATTTACACATAAGGCAAAGTAGAACCACATCATCAGTGCTTCTTAGAAACAGGAAAGCATCAGGTGCTGGGCATCAGGACAACAACCAAGCAGCCAAGTCAGAAGATGGGGACAGGCCCATCCAGGAACAGCGACACCAGGCTGGTGGAGAGGCGGGTCATCTGGGTAGGTGGTCCACAGCAGCAGGAAACTAAGCCTCTGACTAGTCATTTCTTGTTACCCATGGACTTGTGTGTGTGTGTGGGGGGGGGTTGTTTTGTTTTGTTGCTGTTGTTTGTTTGCTTGCTTGCTTTTGTTTTTTTGAGACAGGGTCTTACTATTAGTCCTGTCTGGCTTGGGATCACCATGTGGACTAGGCTGGCTTCAAACTCAGAGTTATCCTCGTTAGTGCTGGGATTAAAGGTGTGCCACCATGCCTCGTGTGGTGTTTCTGTGAGATGATGAATTCTGCAAAGGCAAGAACCGTGCTCCCATCTGAAGCCCAGGCACACCCAGCACAGCAAGTGGTGCATGGACACGCGGTATTGGAGCTGGCTGAGAACCAGGGGGAGAAGGCTCTGAGGACAAGGAATCCTCAGGAGCCTGCCACTTGTATTCTTTGGAACTGCTACTTCGTGGTAGATAATTGATAAGCAAACCAGCCTTTAAGTTCATTTCATCATGATTTTAAAATTCTCTGTAAACATGTGCTGTCCCACTTTATCTCACAAGTAGAGGAGCGGGTTGAAAGCAGATGGGGTCAAGAGAAAAAGCAAGTAACAGTTTAGTTCCTGATAAGTCCTGAGATGTGCACTCATCTTTGTGTGTGTGGAGCGTGGTATGGTATGTATGGTGTGTGTGTGTGTGTGTGTGTGTGTGTAGCTAGCAAAATTGAGGCTTCCTCCACTGAATCCTAATCTTATTTCCAACATATAATGAATACAACAGTATAATGAGATTTTTCAAATGACTGGAATATGTGTGTACTGCCCCCCCCCCAAAAAAGATGACATAGTATATTGTATTACGGTTTTATTTATTATCAATACATCTAAAGTCACACTTAGGAAGTCCATAGCACCCTGTCTCAGGTTGGACTACACCTTTATACACCATGTCTGAACTGATCAATATTCAGAATATCCCTAGCATGTGACTACTATAAAGTATTGCAAGAAGATATCTGTTTGTATCTTAGGTATTTTTATAGCATCAAATTTAAGTAAGACATATCGATGGGTTGGTTGGTTTAAAGTTGTAAATGTCAATATAATTTTTTAAATCACACTTTATATTCTCTGCAAGATCTGGCTCTGTTTCTCTGCCCTCAGCACAAAATAATATCAATATTTTTTATCCTTGCAAACCTTTTAATTTTAAGAATAAAGAAATAATAAATGGTATTTCTTTGTTCTAATTAACATCCTCTGATTTTCAGTGAACTGGGCATCTGTCCGTTGCTGGCCTTGCTATTGTTGAACTCTTCTTTTCCGTGTGGAGATTTCAACTACTTGTTTGCTTCCAATGCTCCCCCTAGTCTGTCTCTGAGTTTGTTCATGGTGCATAGCAGTTAAAATTTTATTTTCTAAATAACAAAAAACAACCAGAAAGGGAAATCTAGAGGCTGGAAGGCTAAAGGTGCTTCCTAGGGAACTTAATGCAGTGACTAAACCACGTCAGTCTGTTTTCTTTCCTTCTGTCACCCTACCTTTCCCGTAATGAGACCTTCCAAAATCTCACTTCTCTCACACTGGCTAACCCACGGCCACTTGGTCAACTTTCAGGTTCCAGACTCTTCTGAAACCTGACTTCAATGACCATCTTAGTAGAAAGGGTCACTAAGTCCCATAGCACCCAGCATTCAGAACTCTCAATGGGAAGCCATGCCTTTGGGTTGATCAGGAATGTTCCATGGATAGACTGCCCTGACCAGTGTAGCAAACAGTATCTACAGGGAGAGTAAGGTTCTGTCAGCAGTCAGGCTCCACTGCAGATACTGAAGTCACAGTCAAGACCCACTCTGAGCAGTACCCCTCCCATCATGATGACAGATGGAACCCTGAGGACCAGCCACCCCCATCTGCTTGTGGGGTTGAGTGGGGTTTTGCTGTTGAAACATCATCTTTACAGTGATTGGATTTCATGACTAATTTCCCCACCTCAGATTATAAAAATACTAAGCCACGTTTTCTTCTGCTGCTTCACTTTTTAATGCATTATTCCTTTAACAGTTTTAATTTTGCTGTGTGATGAAGAATGCAGCAGACCTTTGGGTCTTTCATGTGACTGCTCAGTGGTCTCACATCTTTATGGTGTGTATAATTCCTGTGTGACTCCTCTGGATCTGTTTCTGGGTTTTCCACAGTCTCCACTCATTCTGTTTCTGTGCATGTTGTTTAAGCACCATATTTTTGTGCTTGCTTCCAAATCAAGTCATTGATTTTCTGTGCTATGCTTTTTCAAAATGTTCCAGGATAAATTCATAATTTATTAATTTCAAGTTTCAAAATTCTATAATGATTTTTAACTAAACATAGATTGAATGAATATATGAAATAATGAATGGGAGTTCACATTTCTAGATAGCTTAATATTTTCTGCACTTGGATTCTTTTATTTATTATACTGCTTAATGTCTGATTTTTCATTAACGTTATAAATAAAATTTCCCTCTGCATGCTGTGTTCTCTCTCTTCTTCTTACCTACCTCCCCAACCCCCTCCCAATGTGTGTGTGTGAGAGAGAGAGACAGGGAGAGATGGAGAGAGAGAAAAAAAGTTTTGCTGTGTGGCCCTGGATGACCTGGTACTTGCATAGCTCAGAGTGACTTCAAAATTGTCGTGATCCTCTTGCCTCGGCCTCCCAAGTGCTGGGTTTATAGGTTTGTCTTGACTATAGGAATGAAATGTACAGAGCCATCAGATTTCCAGAGCTCTCAAGGTCTGCTCCTTCTGGCAAGATTTGGAGAGCCAGTGTTGTAGTGATGAGGTGGTAGCTCAGTGCAGCTACTATTGCAGGGAGCCATTCAGGGCTTGGTTTGTAGTTTTCAAAGCCACAAACCTCTGCAGTCAGAAAATGCTTTCTTGAGTTATTTGATGGCAAAAACTGGATGTAATGTGAAGCCAAGTATCACTTTCATTTATTGCTTAATACAGATAGGTAAACACAACAAAATAGGTAGTGTTTGGTTATGGGCTATTTCTCAAATCTTGTTGAAGGACTATGTGACCATCATGCTATACTATCTTTCTTAAATAAAGTCCTTTTTTTTTAAAGATTTATTTATTATGTATACAACATTCCTGCAATGTATGTTTGTATGCCAGAAGAGGGCACCAGATCTCATTATAGATGGTTGTGAGCCACCATGTGGTTGCTGGGAATTGAACTCAGGACCTCTAGAAGAGCAATCAGTGCTCTTAACCTCTGAGCCATCTCTCCAGCCCCCTTAAATAAAGTCCTTAAACACGCCTGGCCCCAAGGAATTTGAAAAACATATTGTAGATCAAATATTCATATGCTAAGAATATTTACTAGAGAAACTATACACAAACATAAAGAAAGCATGTCTGATAATGTCTCGTATAAGCACTGCTTACTAGGATAAAAAGCAGACATGTTCATCAGTGGGCTACTGGGTCCATTATGATGCATTCACCCAGAAGATTACTATATAGCTGTTAAGATTACTATAGCTTTATATGTCAACATGCTGAATCAAAAAGAGCTGTCCAATAAAAAGGAAGCCAAAGAATGCTAGAAAACATATTACAGTTTAGATTTTGAAAGATAATTCGGAGTAATGGCTATCTCTGAACCTGATGACGTAACAATAGCATGTGTTCTGCATTCCGTAGTAAATGAATGTCACAGAGATCTGAGATGCTTTTACAGGTCCAGATTGGCATTCTATTCAATCTGTTGATGCCTGCATAGTGTATTAAACTATCTATTCATTCTCCCCTCCCCTTGGTTTCTCTATGTTGCCTGGCTGTGGCTGTCCTGGAACTCTCATTGTCCACCAAGCTGGCCTTAAACTCACAGAGCTCCTGAGTGCTGGAATTAAAGGTGTGCACCACGACTGCCTAGTGTGTCTATTTGTTCTTGTCTAATTTGCTTTCACTTGCTGATAATTGTAGACACTGCTGAAGCAAACATGTCTGAGATTATTTTATATGCATATAAATATCTCTGTAGGGGTAAAGGGAAAATGCTTTACTTTTTAATAGATAATGTCATTTGTCTTTCCATTTTATTTTTTTCTTTTATTGAGAATAGATTTTTTTTTTATATATATAACATTCTGACTATGGTCTCCCTGTACTCCCAGTTCCTCTCTACCGCCCCCCCCCATCTGTATCTACCTCCTTTCTGTTTTTCATTAGAAAATAATCAGGCAGTGCTGAAGTGATGGTTTAGTGGTTAAGAGCACTGTCTGCTCTTCCAGAGGACCTGGGTTCAGTTCCCGACACTACATGACAACTCACAACCACCTGTAACTCCATTTCCAGGGGATCCAAACCCTCACATAGACAGGTAACAAAACACCCATGCACACAAGAGATAAAAAATGAATCATTTAAAAAATAAGAAAGAAAAAGGCAGACTTCCAAGGGATAATAAAATATATAAGATAAACAAAAAAAAAACCACATAAGAATAGGACAAAACAAAAAGAAAAGATTTTAAAAAGCAGAAGAAACAGATGCAGAGACCCACTCATTCACACATTCAGGGAGCCCATGAAAACTGGAAGCCATAATAATTAGACACAAAGGACCTATATATAGGGTAAGACAAAGGAATAAAAAAAATCAAGATAAAATTGGAAAAAAAAGAAAAATCCCTAATACAATATTATGAGATAAGGAATCTCCAGAGATGCTGTTGAGTTTGCTTTCTGTTAGCTGTCTTCTCTGGGCAGACAGCCTGTGAGAACACAGTCTACGAATGGAGTCCGGTGAGAATGATGAGTATGCTTGTGAGAAAACTCCAAAAAAAAAACAAGAGTCTTGTGACCTCAATTTTCTTAAACATAGACTTGGTCTTGGTATGTGTTTTTGTGTTCCTCCCAGGTGTAGCGGACAGGAGTGAGTTGACTTCGCTGGTTGTTGTTCATGTGCCTCTATGGAAAAACATGATTGCACACTTTACTCAGGTGACTTTTCTTAACCCTCAGAGTATAGAGTGTCTGATGCTTTGGATAAAGTTGGCTGCTGCATGTGACTTTAGTCCATCTCCTTTTCAGGCCCCTCTGCCAGGTTCATGCAGCCAACTCGAGTGGAAAACGGCAGCTTACCCTTAAGAATAGTTTCCCAGGGAGACTCCCCTGGAGAAAACTAAATTTTCATTTGCAAGTGGCTATCAGCTGGAGATTACTTTTAGGTTAAGGATGAGGGCGTGTCACTTCTCCTCTCTAGGACCCCATCTGGTACAGACCCATGCAGCCCTAGGTGTGCTGCCTGTCTCTGTGATTTCATATGTGTATCAGTCCTGTTGTGTTTAGAAAACCTTGTTTTCTTGGTGTCTTCCATCTCCTCTGGATATTCCACTATTCCTCTTTCTTGAGGTTTCCTAAGCCCTAAGTGGAGGGATTTGATGGAGACATCCCATTTAGGATTGAGTGTTCTCTCACTCTCTGCATATTGTCTGACTGTGGGTCTCTGTATTTGTTTCTGTCTGCTGCAGGAGGAAGCTTCTCTGGTGATGGCTGAGCAAGACACTGATCTATGAGTATAGCAGAATTTCATTAGGGATCATTTTATTGTTATGTCCCATTCATAGAACATTAATATTTGGTTTTTATCTTAGGTCCCTGGACTATCTAGTCCCAGGTTCTAGTCACCAAAGCAATATAAGGTATGGGTTCCATCTTGTGGGGTAGGCCTCAAGAAATCACATTAGATATTGTTTAGTTACCAGCTCAACTTCTCTGCATTCAATGAGCCATGTAGGTGTTGTCTTCAGCAGTAGGGCCTTGCCTTCAGCTTGTGAAGAGCAACCTATAGTCTTAACAACAGCATGGGTTGTTTGGGGGTTGTTTGGGATCCCTTTGACCAGCAACTTAATTAGACGTAATCCATTCCTGGAACTGGAAACTTCATTTGGTGATAAGAAATGTCCATTTAGGGCTCTGTCTCTTTCGTTACTTGGTCATTTCATTTAGATAGCCTTCATATATGTATACATTTTAGTTTTAGGAAGCTTCTACTGTATTAAGTTTCTATACTACTAAATGATCCTTAATTGTAGCTGTCTCTCCCCATATTTTCTCCCTTGTCCCCCTCTTCCCTCTCTCTTCCCACTCGACTCTCCCATTACAATCCTCCCTACCCTGCTCTATACCTAACTTCTGTGGTTGTAGATTATAGCCTGCTTATCATAGACTTAACTGCTAATATCCACATATAAGTGAATACATACCAAGTTTTTCTTTCTTGGTCTGGGTTACCTCACTCAGAATGATTTTTTCTAGTTCCATCCATTTACCTGTGGATTTTGTGATTTCATTTTTAATGGTCAAATAATATTCTATTGTGTAAATGTACAACATTTTCTTCATTCATCTGCTGAGTAGCATCTAAGTTTCTGGCTATTATGAATAAAATAGCAATGAACATGTTTGAGCAAGTGTCTCTGTGATAGGGTGAAACATCCTTTGGGTATGTGCCCAAGAGTGATGGAGATTGTAGGCCTATATTTCTGTATGGCACAAAAGCAGTCTGAGCTGATCACGTAGCTCTGCAGACAAGCTGTCTCTGCCTAACAATAGTAAGGATGTACTTGTTAGAAATGTAGATCTCCTGAGGAGAGGTGTTGACTGAAACTGGTCAGGATGTTTGGTGCTTGCTTCCTTTGTAATTTGGAGGATGTCTTATAGAGATGCTAATTTATGGCCTACCTGACTGCTAGATGCGGACTTGACTTGAGCCCAGGCACCTGGTTGCCTAGGAGACAGCCTAATGTGTTCCCACTCAATTGATGTAATGATATATAAGGTGTTTGGAGAACAAACGAGATCTTTGGAGAGAGATCTTGCCCTTCCATGATGACCATGTAAGCTGCGTCCGTTTATTCCTGGTGACTCCGTTCCAGTCCAGTTAGGAAATCTGTGTTGGACCCACACGGCCCGGACAAGAGATAGATCTTGGCGTAGATCAGTTCCCCTCATCCTGAGGAACCACTGTGATTTCCATAGTGTCTATACAAGTTTGTAGTCCCACCAGCCATGGATTAGTGCTCCCTTTACTCTACATTCTCACCAGCATGAGCTGTCAATTGTTTTATTGATCTTGGCCATTCTAATGAGTGTAAGATGAAATTTTGAAGTAGATTTGATTTGCATTTCCTAATGACTAAGAATGTCGAACATTTCTTTCAAAGTTTCTCAGCCATTCTCTTTTGAGAATTCTGTTTAGATCTGTACCTCATTCTTTAATTGGGTTGTTTTCTTGATTTCCAGTTTTTTGAGTTCTTTATTTATTTTGACTATTGACCCTCTATTGGGTGTGTAGCTGCTAAAAAACCTTTTCCCATTCCTCAGTCTTCCACTTTGAATGATATCCCTTGCTTTGCAGAACCATGTCAGTTTTGTGAGGCTCCATTTAT